CCCTTTCAAAGAGAGACTATCTTGGCGACATATTCCAACCAACGAGTGTCAGCCAACGAGTGGTACGTGGACACAAACATATTGTTATAACCACTTTGCAAGTGCCACGTCAACACTCTATCAAAGAGATATCTTCAACTTCTGTCGCTCGGTCGTCTTCAATCGAGCAGCAAATCAGCGAGATGAGGTGAGTTCGCTCCGATACCAAATTGTAATGAACCCAGTGTTGTCGTCCAATCATGTCATCACACAGCAATGTCGTGCAATATCGAGAGATAGTTAATCCAATAAGTCCAACAATTCGAGATTATTGAAGTGCATGTTTCCTTTTTATTATGCGTAAAGTTTCAAAGTCCACAATATCCAGACAAAATAGGAGAGGAGAATAGAAAGTCGAAAGCAGAAGTGTAACCCTTAAGCCTCTTCTCCCCACCTCTGCCATGCCAACACTCCGTACTCAATATGCCATATCAACAATGGGTACTCAATATGACATGTAAGCAATGCCAGCGGGTACTCAGTGTGCCACGTCTGCAATCTGTACTCAATGTGACACGTCAGCAATCTGCATTCAATGTGCCATGTCATCAATCTGCACTCATTATAACACGTGGTCAATTTGAACACAACCCTTCGCAGATATCCTCTAGCAGTGAGCAGAATCAGCAGTAGCTTCATATTGGAAAGAACAGGTACATCCGCACGACGACTTACATCACCTACACTCTCTCTCTTCCTCTCCTCAATTCCTCGCCACCATCTATGGTTGTGGCAGTGACCGCTCCCCTCTCCCTATACTACAATATCTTGGCTGACGCCCATCCAACAACTTGGCGCCAACACCACTTCTCAAGCCTCACGTGCAGCATCGTAGCTGCAAGCAACTTGCAAGACTGAATGCTCGAGCAGTCAAGCTTTTGTAGCGTTGACTTGCGCTATCCAGGGTCAACATTGGCCCATGTGAGGGTCTGGATCATCCGATCAGTCTCAGTTTCGGCTTGGACTCCTCTATGCCTGAATCTTTCGGAACCTGCAGACAACTGTTAGATCATTCCAGATCAATGACCAGAAAATCTTTGTTGTTAACTTTGACTTCTCGGATTTGGGCCTGGGTCCATGAGTTGACTGTTGACTTTTCGGTCAATTGTTGGCCTGTACCTTTTTTAGGCCTCTTTAAGCTTTCTTTTCAATGTCTGCCTGTTTGGCACACGAGCTACAACATCAGTACTTAGGAAACTTAAAAGAAAAATCAGGCCAGAAAAAACAGCATACACCATTAGAGAGTTTCCTTGAAATCCTGGCCAGAAAAAACAGCATACATCATTAGAGAGTTTCCTTGAAATCCTTCCAGGGAGAGGAGGGGAGGGGAAGGGGTTGCCTTTGCTGGGCCTTGGGAATGACGAGGAAGATGATGAAGAGGTGGAGGAAGAAGATAATGAGAAGAACGATGAAGATGAGAATGTCGAGAGTCCTACAGAGTCTGGGCTTTCTCCTTTGCCTAGGGGTCTTCGGTGGTTGAAGGGTTGGGGGTTGATGATGGGAGGAGGAAGGAGGGTTAGTTACTAAGAAAAGGGGGGGAGCGGGATCTGCTAAGGAGGAGAAGGCGTGTCCGAGGAAGAGGATTATTCCACTTCGGCCCGTTTCAGTCTACGCTTCGTAGAGGTGGGTGGGGGGAGCTGCTTGGTCACTATCTTCATCTTCTGGGGTATCTGCTTCTCTAAAATGGAAGCACTTGGAGCTGCAACGCTTTGAAAATATGATGAGTCGAGGATAATCTGACATGAAAGGAGGAGGGATTTCCAGAGGTTGGGGCAGAAAGTGCTCGTAGTGAGGAAGGTTGCCGAAGGCTTTCTTGCGCAGGAACTTGAACCACGGTCCTGGTCCCTAGTTGGCAAACTCCTCCAGATGAAGAACTTGGATGACAAAATCAACAAGGAAAGCGAGGAATTCCCTGAAGAAGTCCGAGATGGGGAAGGCGAGGTACGAAGAAGTGGCGATCGCTGGGAGATTATCCGTTAAAGTGAGGAGCCCCTGCTTTACCCATGAATACGAGAGTCTTGAGTTGGTGTTGGCAATGCACATGGCGAAGCAGTAGAAGTTGGCGGCGATGTTTTGAGCGCGGAACTCCTTGAAGTCAGCCAGGTCCCAACGCGCTATGAGAAGCTCGTGAGGAGAGAGAGAGGAAAGTTGACTCTGAACTGACAGAGGTGAGATAAAAAAGGGCAGTGGAGAAAAGGGAGTACGAGAGCAATTGGATAGCATGGTTCCTTTTGAGAATGTAAATGGATTTTTTCTTGTTTTTTAAGTAAAACTTGGTGGCGTCCCGACGGAAGTTGATGAGATCGTCGATGTTGAGCAAGGCACCGTACTTAACTTCCACCAGCTTCTTCTGAATGAGAAGCAGGTGAGGGGGAATTATTAGCGGGAGCATGTAAAGGTGAAGCGGGAGGAGGCGAGCATTGGGAGGATCGACGGCGAAAAATCTTTCTAATTGCGGATCGGTGGAAATTGGAGGGGAGGGATTGCCTGGGCTGGGTGACTCGATAAGAGAGTAGAATATGGAAAGGAGGATTCCAGGCGGTTGTGGAGTGGAAGATTGAGGGAGAAGGTGGGCAGGGAAGTGATATTTGACAAACGGATCGAAGAGCGGTTTTTCATCGGGGGGGGGGGGGGGGGGGGGGGGGGGGGAGGGGGGGGGGGGGGGGGGGGGGGGGGGGGGGGGGGGGGGGGGGGGGGGGGGGGGGGGGGAGAGTGGTAAGAGAGTGAAGGTGAGGTCGAGTGCTGAGGTGGAGAAGAAGAGCGGAAAATGGGGGAAGAGACAGCATGGGAAGGTGATGGAGGAACGGTGGACAGCACAGGACTGCCCGGGCGATTGTCTCTGTTCATTGGAGGTGGTGGTGGGGAGAGACTGAGCTTACTGGTCTTAAGTAGGCGAAGTGAAAGATTGACTGACCGTGAGGGTGATGACAGGACTGACCTCCCGCAGACTTGACTGAGCTGACCAACGACGGGGCAAGCGGCCAGGCGGAATTGCGCAGAGGTGGTGCGAAGGGCCTGATGGAGCGGTGGGCAGAGGAGGTGCGGAGGGCCTGGCGGAGCGGTGGGCAGGCAGGGTGAAGGCAGTGGAGTGGCTGGCAGAGAAGAGGGCGCAGGCTGCAGTTGGAGATGGTTGCAGCCTCTGGCCAAAATTGGCGAGTGAAAACGACCGCTCTTCCAATAACCCGGCTGACTCGCGTGATGTGACTGCAGGTTCGCAATTGCAATGAACGCTACTGCGGGAGGACGCAGAGCTGCAGGCATGCCGCGCGAGAGTTGCCAACCTGCATGCTCCAGTGACCTATACAGTGGCTGCTCCAGGGAGCTGCAGCCTATGGGCCACCGAGGGCCTGCTCCATCCTGGATGAGTCCCAGTGGAACTCGATTCCTTTCCTAGATGTTGGCTCAAACGCACTCATGTCCGTAGGTCTCGTAGCTCCAGTGGTGAGAAGAGGCAGTCGCTGCGCATGCAGGCCGCCAATCATGAAGAAATCCATGGTCCGTAGAGAAAGCTAAGGGAACCGAAATGGCTCAATAGTTGGCAGGGCCAGTGCCTCGAGGAGAAACCGTCCAACCTCCTGTGGAACGCGGGCAACCCTCCAACCAGAAACCAATGAGAGGGCCCGCCGTGGGCCAAATGCATCCTTTAGTAGGTCCAGCCCCACAAAAGGCCTGTAATAATGTGGGGTATCAGAACTGGCAAAAGAGCGCCCTGAGACTCCCTGGAAAAGCACGTCGGATCCTACCCTAAGTTTTTGGCCGTAGATAAGGGAGATCGACGGCCCGATAAGAAAATCACATAGACTGGGTTCTCGCCCACCCCAGTTTCTGTCGTTTGTTTTTCCTTCTCCTGGGGTCATTTCCCCCCAGCTCCCCCCACTCCTCCAGCGCTCGTTTCTCAATTTGTATATTGTATTGTATACTATTGTATACAGGTAGTCAAAAGGCACTGCTGATGTTCATAGGGGGAGGGGTAATCGGGGAGGCACAGCGACTGGCCACTCAGATGATGCTCGGTTCCTCTGCTACCGGCTGTCCCCTGGCCGGTGGCCCCCGTTGGGGGTTCCCTGAAGGCAATCAAGGGCACCCTGGGCTGAAAAGGCCACCCGATGTCAGATTAGACACAATATTGAATTTACCTGGGCTGGTTAGTCCGATGATAATACCTCAAGGCCATCGCCCTTTCAAAAAAAAAGAAAAAAAAAAAGGCACTTGAAAAGTCAGAAAAAATTCGATTTCTTTCCCCTTTTTTCTTTTACGGTCTTTGTAGCTATACTTGGCTAACTTTGCAGTCCAGATGCAGCAGAAATGACCATATTACGTTCTATTGGGGGCAAAAAAGAAAGGTAGCGACATGCACGGTCGATTGTGCAGCGGAGCGACATGTTCGGCTGGCGAGCCACCTCCTCGGCTATTTTTTTCCTTTTTTTCTTTTTTCTTTTGTGCCCAAGGCAAAAACATACAACAATACCTTTCTCGGCCATTTCGCTAAGATCAAGTGTAGTGTCTGATCCGTGGTCTATCGGACTGCACTTGAAAACACACACACACACACACACACAACAAAAGAGTTCCAGAAAATAAGGGGTCGTTTTTGGGCCTCGGCTAATCAAAGGCAATCTATCTCCCTCTCTCTCTTTCTCTCTCTCTCTCTCTCTTTCTATTTTCCTCATTTATCTCATCCTCTCGCTACTCTATGTATATTATGGGGGAAACCGAAGGAAGACTATGTGAACGATTGACAGCTCCTATTGCTCGATGTGTGTTCTTCTTTGTTTTTTGCCCCTTCTGATTGCTTTGCGGTTCATGCATATTCGGCACTTCTTGAGTGACCTTTCTGGAAAGGGGAGCTACTGAGGTGGGGGGGGGGGGKGAAGAAATAGGCTATCGCGCACTCGAGCGACCGGGGAAAAAAAATAGGCTTGCGCACTTGACCGACCAAGAAGCGGAGGAGCGCGGGGTCGAAGGGGTAATCTGCTGGATCCGATTACTCGGCAATATTGATGATGGCTTTCAATCATGAATGGCAGTACCAGGAGGTCAGTGCCCGGTTTTTGTCCGTTTCCCCCCCAGCCCCCCCCCCTCTCCCTCCCCCCAAACCCCCTTTTAAATGGGCGATGGCTTTGAGATGTTATGTGTTATGATCGAGTTGACCAGCCCCAGGTCTTTTTTTTTGTTTTTTTGTTTTTTTGTTTTTTAAACCCCAGGTCATTTTAGAAGTATGTCGTTGCACACATCTATCTAGGTCCCATCAGGATTTTTTTTTTTTTTTTTTTTTTGTTTTGTTTTTTTTGTGGTCCATCAGGATTGATTATGCCTAGAGATGAAATACCAACTGAGGCGGGGACTGAGGCGGGGGGGTGTATTTTAATAGTTCATGGGTGTAGCAACGGAGCTAGGCTAGGCTGATGGGTCTCCCGCGGCTTTTGCATTTTTGAATCTGAAGTCTGACTGGGAATGGAATGAAAAGGAGCGTAACCTACATCAAACCAAAAAAAAGAAAAGAAAAAAAAAGAAAAAAAAGAAGAAAAAAAGAGCGTAACTGCAACCATGTTCACAGAGAAAAAAGAAAAAGAAAAAGAAAAAGAAAAAGAAAAAGAAAAAGAAAAAGGAAAAAGGAAAAAGAAAATAGAGAACGTAATGAACGATCGATTGATACCAGAAGCATGTGGGGAGCTTCCCGTCGTGGAAAATTGAGGCGCAGTTGATGATGCAGGAGGAAAGGTTGATGATGAAAGTGAGGAGCGATTGGTGATGATGCACGAGGTCGTTGGGCAGGGAAAAGGAAAAAGGATCTCACAGGATCGGTCAGGATTTATCGAGGTGTTTGAGCGTTCATTTTGTCTAAGTAGAAAAAGGATGAAAACAACACTCCCTCTTGTCCTAGACCGTCTTGTGTGTAGCGCCCGCACCTTCACATATCTATACGATGGCCGATCCCTCAACTCCTTCCCCGTCCATCATCTCTTTCACCCGTACTGGCCGCGTCTACGTGCAGTTGTGTGTGTGTGTGTGTGTGTGTGTGTGTGTGTGTGTGTGTGTGTGTGTGTGAGAGAGAGAGAGAGAGAGAGAGAGAGAGAGAGAGAGAG